ATAGAAGTTAATTACGTTAAAAAAACAGGCTTTCTGACAAGATAACTGAAGCTGGTTTTGTGTCATTTAATTGGTAAATCAATCATTAACTGTGGAGACTGGAGGGATGGTGCGGGGCTGTGACCGGAAGGGTTGGTGCGCCTCGGTTTGTGAGCGCAGCACCTCAGCGCTGAATTTTGCGCTGTTGGTTGTTGGTTACATCCTTTAGCCTCATCATCGGGCGCCGGGATATTCTCCGCGCATGCCGAGCTGCCCTAACGAGCATGAGCTCCGGGCAGGAGCTGGACAGCGGCCCGGCGGACTGTCGCTCAGCCAACAACACCTGCGTGTGCCGACGCGCCCTGGACGAGCTGCCCTGGCCCGCCGCGCTGGAGGCCCAGTAACTATGGGGTGTTCCCGTGCCTGGGTAACGAGCAGCCGCAGCCACAACTGGGATTCGTGTCCCTCCTTGTTCTTCACCAGCACCGTGCTGACACAACAGGTGAGGCCCGGGGACATCAGGTGTTGAGACAGAACGGCATCATAGTGTGCTGCGTGTAAAGCTCCTATTTGCTTTAATTAGCAAAGTGTGAAAGCTGCGGACATTCCCCTGTGGTGGGTGTAAATTTTAATTCTGGTAAGCACTTATTAAGGGGTTTTATTCGTTGTAAGAAATGGCTTTACGGTTAAAGATGCCCCTTCAGGACATAATAATTTGCGTCTGATGTGACAAAAAACAACTTCGTTAACTCAACTTAAATAACTAATCGACACCGTCTCCAAGAATCTATGAATACTGAATATTTTTCATTTAAAAGTTTAACTGCTGGACAAAAGATTCCTCCTCCCCTCCACATAAAAATGTATCTTCTCAAGTTATCCATGTGTGCTGGAAAGTATCAAATTTCCCAAACCCAGCTCTGGCCACTGCTGGCAGAATTTAATTAGATCAGTTACAAAAACAAAAACATGATTGTGCCAGGTTGTAAGAAAATGTATTAATAAATACTTATGTAAGTCTGGACGACATGTTTACATAAGTTTGGTTAATAAATAGAATTTTTGGTCCAGATTTTTTCAACCTGTTTTCCCAACATTGAAAAGCAGTAAAGTTAGTTTTGAAGTCATCACAAGGGCCGAACGTCTGAAGGGGGACTCGTTTCGTTCCTCATTCTTTGTCTCAGTGGGAGCGGGTAGTGACGTCACTCTTCACCGCAAGTAGAGTGGTGTGGTGCGTGTGTGTGGTGTGTGTGCTGTGTGTGTGGTTGGTGGGTTTTTTTTTTTTTTTTTGTGCGTTCCTGCACTTCCCTCTCCAACCGGTTTAACAGGTTTAGTGTTTTGAGTCATTACAATGGATTTATTTTTCCTGAGACTCAAGGTCGGGTTTCTTTGAAAACCCAGATTTATTACTGTAAAAACGTTTACACAAAACAATAAAAGTGATATACAGAGACAGAAAAAATACAGTAATATTCAATAAAATTCTTAAGGGATGATGGCAATATTTGCCTGAAATATATAGGTGTCGCTTAGTACTTCGAGGATATTTAAGAATGATTATAACTCATTACATTGTAGACGTTACTGTAATTTGTAGTCCACTAAATGTGTCTGACAGCTACTTTTATTAGAAAGATTTTACCTACAAAATACTGAGTTTTAATGCTTTAAGTAAAATTAAATACTTTAATATTTTCATAGAGTGCTTTTACTGCTTTTACCTAAATGATTTGGATACTTCCTCCACCACTGACTTTACTAATCTCAACACTAACCTTTGTCAGTTTACTTTTACTCTTTCTCTCTCATCATTTGTAATAATTACTTTCACCACTAAAAGGCGCTAGAGACCACGTTTCCACAACCGCATGTGTACAACTGGTCACCAGAAAAGAGAAAAAAAAAAAAAAAANNTAAAAAAAAGTAAAAAAGTATTTTATTGTTAAGTTCCCAGCAGACATCTGCACAGTGCTCTACTTACTCCATCATCAATTTATTCTCCCATCTCTCCGTTTCATATCTGGCATCTGGCAATAAATAAATATTTACAACCATTAGCAAAAAGCAAATGAAAAGCAACAAAAGGGTATACTGTCACTAAAAATGCTGTCTGATTCTTACAGTAATATACAGCGAATGAGACAGCTGGAAATCAATGCTGTCGCATAAAAAGCTGATAGATAGATGACGGTCACTAATTGATAGTCTTGGCAGGATAAAGGTTCTGGGTCTGGTGCATCCTCTCTCTCTCAGTTGTATTCAGATTTTCTGAAATTATGTGGACCTCTGGTGGGTTGTTCAGTTATCTGAGATGGAAAATAGAGAAAAACAGGTCACAGATTTGGTCTTCAGAGACATATCTTTTATACGAAGAACTGATTTGTAAATGCTGGAGGACAGAGGCACAGTGATCAGTAGCAGCAGTGGAAGTAGGCTTGACAATTTCCATTATGGTACTTCTGTTCCACTA